CTCCCCTGCAGGAAGAAAACCTGGGAAACTTGATCCACGAGACAGAGTCTTTCTTCAAAACGAGAGACAAGGAATACCAGGAGACAATAGGGCAGATAGAGGTGAGGGAGCTGTTCCTGAGGGATGGACACAGCACAGAGCTGTCCCAGAGGGAAGCAGGAATGTCCACACATCCAGCAATGCAAAGGCATTTCCCTCTGCCGTGCCCTGGGGATTTTTCTGAATGCCATTCTCTGGGTTATTATTGCTGCGTGCTTCAGCACTGAGCATAAATCTGAGGCTGGTGGAGAGAGAACCTGCAGAACAAAGGGAATAAAACACGTTATTTTTCTTTTTCCTTCCTTTGTTCTGCATGTCCACCCTCACCCTGGGAAATGCTTCCCCTGATGTGGCCTCACAGGTGGCCAGAAACAGCAGCTGGAGCTTCTCAAAGGCTCTGTCCTGCTTGGAGCTGCTTTCATTAATTGCCTGTTGACAAACAAAGGGCAGGAAAAGCCCTCCAGGGTGATATATGGGTTTTTTTGAGCTAGTCTTACAAGCTCTTGGAGATCTATATTACACTTAAGATAGTTCAGCTACTTTAAAAGCAATAAAATCAGCAGGATGGCTTTTGTGGTAGTGTTAGAAACAGAAATTTTTTAATAAAAAGCCAAAGCAGGGCTGTTCAGAGCCAGTGTGGAGCTGTGATTGCCCTTCCTGAGCTCATGGGTGCATTGGCAGCCAGGGGCAGAGAGGGAAATGGGCACTGTGGGGTGTGGGGGGGCTCTGGGCAGCTGAGGCACTGTGAGGAGTGCAGGGAAAGGAAAGAAATGCAGGAAAAGTGGGATTGCTCCTGCCCTGAAGCCGATGCTTTGCCCTTCAGCTGGAACTGGCCACGGCCAAGAGCGACATGAACCGGCACCTGCACGAGTACATGGAGATGTGCAGCATGAAACGGGGCCTGGACGTGCAGATGGAAACCTGCAGGAGGCTCATCAAGGGCTCAGCTGACAGGTGAGGGCTCCTCTGGNAGAGTGGCACAGGGATAACAGAGAGGGGCACAGGGGTAACAGAGTGGCACAGGGATAACAGAGAGGGGCACAGGGGTAACAGAGTGGCACAGGGATAACAGAGAGGGGCACAGGGATAACAGAGTGGCACAGGGATGACGGGAGCAGAGAGTGGCACAGGGATAACAGAGTGGCACAGGGATAACAGAGAGTGGCACCATAAGGATAACAGGGGCACAGAGTGGCACAGGGATAGCAGAGAGTGGCACAGGGATAACAGAAGCAGAGAGTGGCACAGGGATAGCAGAGAGTGGCACCATAAGGATAACAGGGACAGAGAGTGGCACTGGGGTAACAGGAGCAGAATGGCACAGGGATAATGGCTGGACAGTGGCACAGGGATTACAGGAGCACAGAGTGGCACAGGATAACAGAGTGGCACAGGGATAACAGGGACAGAGTGGCACAGGGATAACAGAGGCACAGAGTAGCACAGGGATAACGGGCACAGGGTGGCACAGGGATAACGGGCACAGAGTGGCACAGGGCTAACAGAGGGTGGCACAGGGATAACAGAGTGGCACAGGGATAACAGGGACAGAGTGGCACAGGGATAACGGGCACAGGGTGGCACAGGGCTAACAGAGGGTGGCACAGGGCTAACAGGGTGGCACAGGGATAACAGGGACAAAGCAGCAGCATGGCAGCGATAACGAGCAGAAGGAGAGTGGCAGGGTGATAACGAGCAGCCTCGTGCAGGAATTAATGACGGCTGATTTGCATAGCCGGGCGTGCCCGCCTAAGCGCTGCAATAGCGCCGAGCCCGGGCCCCGCGCCGGGGAAACGCTAAAGATTTTAAGAAGCTTAAATCCTTCTAAATGAAAATTATACAAGGAAAGGGTAGATTTGGCTTGTAGATGGAGGTTCAGAATAAAGGCTGCTCCGGCTGTGCCTGCTCTTTAACATGTGCTTTACATGCCTGAATCTTCCTTCCGTGGGTTTTATTCCTTTCAAGTTCTTACACGCTGCCCTCACCACCTTCTTTTGTGACCTTCCTCCTTAAAGCTCTTCTGCATATAAAAGGATCAGAGGGATGATTCTTGTAACTCCAGGCTGGATAGCCTGGTGTGGGTACCAGCAATGAGCCCTGTAAATCTGCCACAGATGTGGCCAGAGCATGCAAACCCCATTAACACTCATTGCTGCAGCTGTGCTAAATTGGGAATCATTTTTTAATGGAAAACTGAGGTGGTTGAAGGCTTGAAAGAGGGAACAGTGACATTGTGGTGCCTTTTTGGGCAGCACCAAGGAGCCCAGGCTGTGCTGTCAGTCCAAAGGAGGAGCGTCCCTGTGGGACAGCATCTGTTCCTGCTTCATCCAGGAATTCCAGTGGGAATCTCTGTGTGCACTGCAGAGTGATGAGATGGAACTGGAAAATGAGAATTCCAGCGCAAAGCTGGGAGTAGCAGCGTGGTCAGTGCAGGGAAAATGAAAAGTTTCATGGCTGGAGAGCAAATCCAGCCTGTCCAAGTGAGATCAGGCTGTGAAAGGCTCAGGAAAACCCAGGGGGTTGGTGCTTGGAATGCAGCAGGTGCAGGGGTTTAATTGATCAGACCTGGCCTTTGTGTGCCCAGAGCTGTGGGCATGGCACAGAAATGTGTTTGCCTGCTGTTCCAGACTGCAGAATATTCCTCGTCTGTGAAACAGTGCCTTTAAAAAATCAGTGCAGGAACAACACAAGAACCTGCATTTCCAGGGAGGTTAAATAAAATNGGCAGGAGCACCCACAGTGGGTGCTGAGGGAATTCCCTTATCAGGAACTGGGGTGTGAGATGGGAAAGGGGCACCCACAGTGGATGCTGAGGGAATTCCCTTATCAGGAACACAGAGGGGTGAGTGAGGGAATTCCAATATCAGGAATTGGGGTGTGGAGTTGGCAGGAGCACCCACAGTGGGAATTCCCAAACAGGAGCTGGGGTGTGGGGTGAGAAGCAGCACCCACAGTGGGGTGGCTGAGGGGGCTGTGGGTGCAGCAGAGGGTGCGGAGCTCACAAGCACGGTGGTGATGTGTGTGGGACAGCAGAGGTTCCCATGGGTGTCGGGGTGTTTCTGTAACCACATTTAATCCATTTCTAAAGCAAAAAAAGGTGTTTTCATGCTCGGGGTTTGTGTTCATTTAGGCTGGGCCAGCCCTTTGGGGCAGCTGGGGTTGGTCCTTGGGGGTTTTTGGGAGGTTGTTGTGTCCAAGTCCAGCTGTGCTGCTGCTCCTGCTCCGTGTGTGTGGCACCAGATCAAAGCTTGCCAGAGGAAAAAAAAAAAAAAAAATTAAAAAAAAGGAATTTAATTGTAAAAATGCTGGAAATGATTTTGATGACCTCTTTCTTTTTTTCCTTTGTAAAGCTGTAAATACTTTATTTTTGTTTTCTATTCTTAATGCGGTGTCATATTGACACTTTTTTAGATTTCCAGTCAGAAAATCCTCCTCATCGTTTCTCATTTTTTAAAAGGGGATTTCAAGGAAGCAAATTTTTTTGCTCGCTAGCAGTGTAATAATAGATCAAATTCCTAAACTGGGTTTGTACAAAAAAAATGTTTTCAGTAAACAAATGGCAGTTTGTGGATGCATGTTGTTCAAAAATGTCCAAAGAATAATGTGGTACAAATGTTTTAAAGAATAATGTGGTACAAACATGTTTTTCAAAGATTTAGTGATGATCATCTTAGTTCACACAAGGAAAAAAAAGCAAAATTCTTTTGAAAAAAAAAAAAGTTTGGGGGGGAATGTAATGAAACTCATCTAAGCTAAATGTGTAATCTATTTATAAAAACACAGTATATATTCTATTTTTATCAGAGGTTTTTAAAGTGCAAACAGATTTCTGTTGGCAGATGCAATTGTTCCCTTGTAAAGTCTCTCCTGCTCTGATGGGACCCCCAAATCCTCTGATGGTTCCAGGAATCAAGGTGGGAATAACCAGGGCAGGTTTGGCTGTGGAGCGCTCACAGTGGCGTCCTGCAGGGGAGGCTGCAGCTCCAGCATCTCCTCTGCAGAATTGCTGTGTGATTTTATTCCCTTCCCTGCGATTTTGTTCCCTTCCCCTGACTGGGAGGATGCTCCTGGAAAGGGTCAGCACCTCCTGGATCCCGGGAGCGTGGCAGGACAGGGGTTAAACTCTGCCTGGGTAATAAAAAATTAAATTATAAATTCAATTTGTACCTGTAGAAATCGGGATTAACTCAACAAAACAGAACAGCAGATGGGAATCGTGCCTGAATCCGCATCCAGAGCTGCTCCTAAAGTGAGATTATATTAATTTTCCTTTCCATGATCATTCCTGCCAGCAATAACAGGGGCTGGCTGTGGCAGGGCCGTGGTGCTCCCAGAGCTGCTCCTGGTGTTTCCCTTGGCTCTGGGAACAGGGGAAGGATGTTTGTGTTGGAAGAGCTGCAGAGCTGGGCGGTTTCACGTTGGAGTGCCTCATTTTAGAGCTGAGTGTTTAAGGAACGATTTATCCCGGTTAAATTGAGACATCCCAGCGCTTGCTCGAGGCAGGGACACTCAGTGAGGGTTTCCCACCCTCGGTTTCAGGAATTTTGGGGTTTTTGTCTCCTTCTGCTGGGCTGCAGGGGAGCACACAGCCCTCAGAGCTCTTGGCCTCTGGGGCTGCCACCCACACCTGGATTTTGGGGTTTTTAGTGGGATGTAATTTGTGTTTTAAGCGAGAAATAAAATTACCAAGGAGGCAGCAGGCGCTGTCCTGGTGGGAATGGCAGCAGAGGGGAGCTGAGTGAGAATTCCAGTGCTGGGAATTGTCCATGGGAGTGGGATCCCAGCCCCTCTCCCTGCACGGGGAGCGCTCAGGGCCGGGCCAGGCCCTTGGCAGCGCACGAGGAAACACCTGAGCCTTCCCTCCTGTGTGTTCTGGGGTGAATTCAGGGTCCTCAGACCCTTCTGCGCTTGCAGGAGCCTTTCAGAGCTTCTCTTTTGAAGGAGCAGCGAATTGTGTTTAAATGTGGGTGTTGGATTGCAGAAATCACCATTCGCCCTAATCTGAGGCACTCCGACAGTGAAGCACTCGGTGAGGGGGTGCTTGTGGGTCTGGCCAGCTCCCTTTTTGGGAAATAATGATGTTAATGCCTAAAACACCCCTGGGGTGGCTCCAGACCGGGGCCATCTCTGTGGCAGCACAGCCCAGAGCACCACGGTGCCACCAACCCGGTGGAGCTGCCAGACTGCCACCCCCAAACCCCAAATTTCTGTTCATTGGAGAGGGTTTGAGGGCGGTCCAACCTCACTAAAACACTCCTGTGTGTTTCACCAAAAAACTCACAAACCAGTCCCTAAAACACCTCCCTGTGGTTAATGTTAATGTAGCGACCTTCTGCCAAAAAAATTTATTTATTATTTATCGTGTTCGAGCGGGAGGCATTGATGCCTCTTCCCTCCTGCTGTGTCACTTCTTGTCGGTTCCTCTTTAGGTCACCCGAGATTTTCTGTTATCCCCGTGACAATGAACTACTGATGGTGTGGGAACGCCCCTGGTTACCGTCCCCTGTAAATACCATGCTTTATATTCTGTATATTAGCTCATTTGAACAGAAAAGACTGCACTGATGATGCTGTCGGGTGGGGAAAGGCCGGAGGATTCTCCTGGGGCTGGAATGGGACACCACCAGTGGATTTGGGACCACAAAAAGCTTCGAGAATCCAATCCACGGCAGGGGGAGCCCTGAGAAGCACCCAATCTCCTCTGAGCTCGGCAGATTTGCTCCATTTTTCCTTTTTTTAGTGCCAAAACCGAGCCCACCATCCCCTCCCAGGTGTGCTGGTGTCCATCTGGTGTCCATCCCACCCCTCCGTCCAGCCCCGGCCGGAGCTCAGCCCCCGGTACCGGCCCTGCCCATGGAACAGGTGCCAGTCGGTCTCTGGTGACGATGAAAAACCACAAAAAACTATAAAATAAACACCAAACTCCTGGTTGAACGGCTCCGCGTGTTCATTCT